TATCAGCCACTGGTCCTGTAGCAGGAACTCTAGGAAGTATTGGAGGTGGCTTGGTTGAACCCAGTAATGTTAAGGGTGACAGACCGATTGCAGCCAGTGGAAGGGCAATCGCCTTGACCCATAAACTGAGAGTGGGTTGTGTCATCCTGGTGCCATGTTGCTTGGATGTAGAAGCAGTATCTGTGGTTTAAGATAAAAACTTGAGAGAGAATGATGATTAGTAAAAGAAGAAGAGAGTTGGAGAGAAATTTTGAGTTTGGTAGGCGTGGTGGAAGTCCAGGACTGGACATTTGGAACAAGTGCCTTTTTAAGGTGGGGGACCTGGTCCAGAGGGAGTGGCCCAAAAGCTTGGCCACCATTGGGGTAGTAACTATAACTTATGGGGTCCCATCCATTGAGGTTCCAACGATTGAGAATGCAGTTCCTGAAGTAAGACTGAGTCACCCAGTTGAAGAGGGTCCAATTCAGTTGGTGGTTGTGTGGGGATTGAGGCAATGAATGGAACAGGAAGGCACTGGTCTGCATGTTCCCTTAGGAGTTTGCATAGAAGTGTGAGATTAGGCAGGTAGGACTCGAGGGGAGGAGGAATGATTGGAAAGCTTTGGATGGTTAAGAAAGGGCACCCATAGAATTGCTCAAAGGGGCTAAGGCCTGAGGGGGTCCTTGGGGCTGTCTGATTCAGGTGAGGGTCAATGGCAGGAGATTGGGCCAGAAGAGCCTGAGTTTAATAGCAAGTTTAGTGAGATGATCCTTGAGAATGCCATTAGGCCTCTCAACATTACGCGAGGACTGGGGTTGGTATGGGATGTAGAGCCTCCAAGTGATGTTGAGGCCTTTGGAGACTATTGAACAACCTGAGAAATGAGGGCCAAACTGTTGTCTGACTGGATGGAAGCGGGAAGTCTGAATCTGGGAATGATCTGCTGGATGAGGATGGAGGTGACGGTGTCAGAAGTTTCCCTGGATGTAGGGGAGGCTTCTATCCAACCTGAAAAAGTATCAAGCAAAGTAAGTAGGTAGCAAAGCTTTTTGTGCCTAAGCACGTGAGTGAAGTTGATCTACCAGTCTTTGTCTGGCTGGTGGCTCCTCCTCTGACGTGTGGGGAGTTTAGGTTTGATGCTTCCTTATGGAGATGCTGTAGAGCAGACAGAACAAGCAGAGTAGACCTGCCAGAGAGTATTTCTCATTCCTAGGAAGTGAAAGAAGGATTGTAAAATCTGGAAAAGGGGTGAGAGAGGGTTTTAGGTGGGGGAAGAATCTCTGGAACTAGAGGAGTTGGTCATGAGTCGTAGGTTTCTGTCTTGGGCATCAGGGGCTGGTAGTTTTAAAGAAGTACGTGATTGACTGACTGGTTGGTGAATTTGTGTATCTGATCTTGCAGGAACTTCTGTAGGCAATTTAATAGACACAGTCCTATTAGGACAAAGATAAAGAGGAATAATAGGGGTCCTATGAGGGGGAGGAGCCAAGGCCATACTTTACTGAACATTCCCCATGAGCCTGTTGGCTTAGTTGCTGTCTCCTCTTTTCTAGCTGTTCTTGTCCTTCATTACTCCTAGGAATGACTTTTTGGCTTAACTAGTTTGGGTAGGTGTTTAAGATCAAGTTGGTCAAAATTGATTTTGTTTCTACCTATTGTTAAGAGTCAGCTGAGTTCCCATAGGGATCGCTCATGGGGAAACTTGAGAGCAGCTTCTTAGTTCTGCTAGTGCCATTTGCACTAGGATGGGTCCAGGTCTTGCTTGACCATGTGGCTTCCCTTGGAAGCATCAGGGATGTCTCCTGTCTCCAGTGACCCTCCTATTCACAGCAAGTGCACTGATTGGCTTTTCATTCTCCAGTGGTCTCAATAATCTCCCTGATCAGGAGGTTATGTGGCCCAGAGTTGCAAAGCTCTTTAGAGAAGATCCCTGTTCCCTGGATTCAGGCTGACTCGGAGGGCCAGAGCCAAATATTGGTTTTCTTGGCCATTTTAATTTAACTTTAAGTCTTGATCATAAACATCCAGCAAAGTCAGTTTCACCCTAAATTAAGAGCATTGGGCTTTAGCTGAAGTCTGGCCTACTTTGGAGTCATTCTGACATGTAGTAAGATGGGAAGCACAGCCTTATCTCAGGTAAGGCTAAGATTTATAAATCTTAGGTAAAGTGTTCTACTATTGAACTGATCTTTGTTTTTAAATATCATTTTATAAAGTTTATATATGTTGTTGCTTGATGTCACATGAATACTAGGTAATATAGTATATTACATTTAAATTGTACCCAGTGTATAGAACTTTATATTAATCTTATTGATAACAGGTCCAGTTATACAACATTAAATGATATAAATAAATATCCAATATGTTATTTTTATAAGCCTAAAATAACCATGCAACCTTTTGGAGAACACCAGCTTGATATAATTTTTTTAAAAGCTTCTATCTTAATGACTTATATACCTGGAAAATATGAACGCATTTAATATACAAAGAAGAGTAATAGTACCACAATTATTATTGATGTTTTTATATTAATCAAGTTTAGCTTTTAAAGAAATAACATATTACAATATTGCAAAATTACAGTTGTTGTTTAACCATAGTTGTATACACAGATCTTCTTTAGCACTTGCTTAAACTCTCTTATTTACTTAATAGACTCTCTTATCCAGAAAACACATTTTCCTTCTATTAAATCCATACTTAGAACCTTCTAATTTCTCTTTCCTATCTGTTAACTCCTTCTTTATTCACACTTAAAAAAAATCCTTGTAAATTTATGAATTTTGGCAAATTATTCCATTTTAATAAGAGATATTTTGTTATTTGCAGCACACAATTAATCACATCTGTTGACCATTTCATGAAAACGTGAACAATGTTTAAGTAAATAGAATTATATTGTTGTAGGGACAGACAAGGCAAGGCACCTAAGAGAGCACTGAAGATAGAGAAATAGGTTTATTTGGTTGCAGCCAGATTCAGAAGGCACAGCTTCTGTTGTAATCAATTAATCCCCTGAACCCCAAGTTTAGGTTGTTTCAGAATTTTGTACCCAACATGTAAGGAAAGGGGCTCAGAAGTTCACAGTATGCAGAAGTTCACAAAACGCAGTTTTTGTGTGTTGTGTGTGTGTGTGTGTTCTGGGCAAGTTAACCCTTCCAAGGACACACCTGGGAAGGGGAGAGCTTTTGAGCTTTTTCTTCCCTTTCTCTCTTCTTTCCTCCCTTCCTC